AGATGCCTGCCCAGCCCTGGGATGCTGAGCCACGGCCTCTGGGGAGAGGGTTCGAGCACTCGTAGCTTCCGAAGCCCTCCACAGGGTTCTGATGCTGCCGCGTGGCGGCCCGTCCATGGCTGTCCTCCGTGCCGCGTAAAATGCATCTCCTTTTCCAGCATCTTTTGGGAAGAGGATGCAGAGGAACGTGACTTTCAACAAATGGCTGTCCCTCACTCTTTAGTGAGAAACGGTTGAGCTGTCCTTTTTTATCTTGGTTAGTTTCTGTCTTACGGTTTATGTGAATGTTTAGTGTGTACACGTCTTTCATGGGTGTGCATACAGCTCTGCACAAGTGCCACAGTTGGGGTACGGAGCCTTCCGTTCCCTGGTGCTGCCCCTTCAGAGTCAGCACCCCACCCTGCAGCCCCTGGTCCGCCTCCATCCCTGTAGCCTGGCCTTCCTGGGAACGTTGGGTTTCCGGAGGAGAGCGCTGCGGTGAGCAGCGCCTCTCAGCCTTTTCTTCATTATCCTCTCCCCCCCCCCAGGAGCCTTTCTGGACTTTTTTCTCCTAATACTCCCCATGACATTTTAATGCCACAGGTAGGCTGTGCAAGTTTGTGTGGGTCTGTATGTGCACGTTTGTGCTTGTAGCCACACAGGCGCAGATGACACAGCGTCCTATGGGCCGAGAGGGAGGCCTGGGGCGCTAACTGTGAGCCCCCAGGAGCCCTGATGGCCACGCTGAGAAGGGACGGCTGGTGAGGAAGGTGGAGGTGGGAGGTGCCCCATACCAGGCTGCCGCAGGGATTCGGATTAGAACTGGTATGGTCTGGAAGTGACCAGAGCCTGGATGAGGAGTCGTGCACACAGCTGAATGAGACAGGAGATCTGGGGTGCAGATCTGATTCCACTCTTGTCTGGGTTGTGCTGCTAGGCCACATGCGGTCTCAGGTCCCACCTGCTAGTGGCTCAGCCCCAGGGCTCACCTCACCAGAGCCCCTGTGACCACTCAGTGGACAAGAGGAGCCCGGACGCAGCCACCCCCACCTGGGGAGGGGAGGAGGGGCGCCCTGAGCCCTGCAGTGCATGGGCCGGTCAGCCCTCCTGCAGACTCTCAGAGAGCGGCTGCTGAGCACCCCTGTGGACCAGGGCCCAGGAGGCCGGCGAGGACCTAGACCCAATTCCCCTCCTCTCCTCAGGCTCCCTCCCAGACCCGGGATGGGGACAGAGGCTGCGGAGCCCGGGTGAACGGCCCTCACTCTTTGGTGAGAAACGGTTGAGCTATCCTTTTTTATCTTGGTTAGGTTGTGTGTGGCAGGTGCACAGGGCATCAGCAAGGGGACCTCCATGGAGCTTCACCCCCACTGCTTCTAACATTCCACAGTTCTATCGGGAGGCAGGCTCCCACAGGGTGCCACGGGCATGGGGAGACATGGCGTGGAGCCATGGCACGGAGCCCCTCTCCTAGAAGATGCTCTGGGGATCTCATGGAAAGCACTAGAATGTGAGTCTGGTGCTGGGGTGAGACAGGGACAGGTGCCCGGCTGTCTGGCTCGGGCTGTGTCCCTTTTGTGGCGCTCTGATGACAGGATGGTGGTGGTGCCCTGTCCCTTGGCAGAGCACAGGACATGGTGAAGGAGAAGAGCCCACGTTCCACAGTGCATCAGAGAGAGAGTTCTAGAATGTTGTGGTTGGAGGCGGGGAGAGTAAGGGGTGACGACGGAGCCTGCGATCCCACAAGGAAAGGTAAGGCTTTGGGACAGCTGACTTGCACAGCGGGGACTGGTCACATATGCAGGGCCCCTGTCAGAGTGAAAAAGGGAGTCCTGGATCCTGGGGGCCGTTAATACACCACAGGAGTCGGTGGCACCTGGTATGACCGTGACCCAGACTGGACTGGGAAGGGATACTTCCAAGAGATCCCAAAGTGCCCCCAATGAGGGACAGGAGCATGCAACTCTTGATCTCAGGAATGTAAGTTTGAGCCTCACGTTGGGTGTAGAGATTACGTTAAAAAAAAAATCATTCCCAAATGATTTTGGTAAAAATCATGTTTTTACCAAACCCACAGGATTTAGCTTTGTAGGGCTCCTCTGTGCCTGTCATGGGTCCATCAGGCAAGGTTATCCTGTAATAACAAACCTCAAAACAAAATCACAACTTCTGGGTTCTTTTCTGGGTTAGCAGTAACAACGTTCCCAAGGATACGGACGTGGACGTGTGGAAGGGACAGTCCTCCAGCCATGGCCCCCAGGGCCAGCATGGTGGTGGCTGGGATGGTCCCGAGGGCAGTGTCCTTGCTGCTGGATAATCTGTCCCTTGCTCTGCCCACCTGCAGGGGTAGGGGTGTGGCCTGCCACTTTGGGCCCTCTGTCTTGGCAGCCAGCTCCGTCAGGTCACACAGAGGCCTCCCCAAACCCTGCTTCTAACTGTGGGGTTGGGTCCTCATCTGGAGTAGAGGACAGGCCCTTTTCTCTTTCCAGTCCTACAGGAGGTTCAGATCATTGGGATATCCAGTCTGGAACAAGGAACTGAAGAACATTTGTGCCCCGTCTCTGGGTGTTTGGTGACCCGTCCCTTATCTTGCCCCAGCAAGGCGGCGGTTGCCCTCCTTCTGCTGGTCTCCCTGCATCTGCCCAGGGTTGGTTTGGGTTTTAAAGATTTTGTTAGCGCTCACTTGGCCTCATGCTGCCACAGCCTGCCGCCCTCACCACATGCAAGAGTGGGGAGAGTCCCCCTCTGCCACCAGCTCCCCGACGGCAGAGGTGGCCCCAGTCCCAGGCAGGTGGTACGAGGCTTCACGGCAATCTGAAAGAGACCCCCAGGCTGCAGGTGACGGTCGCAGGGGTGGCAGGAAGGGGCTGTCTTGGCTGGGTTCCCCTAAAAGCCAGCCGTGAGCTAGGGTCTGCAAGTGTATTACTGGGGAGATGAACTGGGATAGGGTGTGGGGAGGGAGGGAGGAAGCAAGGGGTGGTGCACAGGACATCAGCAAGGGGACAGCAGTGGGGGCAGCTGGGGCTCGGGCCTGCAGGGATGCCGGGCGGTGGTGTGGCGCACGTCCCACAGCCGTCCCACCTGCAGCCCCGAGCTCAGGTACTTACTCATCCTCCCCGTCACTGCTGAGGGCTGCTCCCGGGGCCGTTGGCCCCTGGCCCTCTTGGCCTGCCCCCACACGGGGGCCTGGAGAGTCGCTGTCGTCGGGCAGTTGTAGGGGTTGACAGCCATCAGCATGTGAGTGCTGTGGGGGCTGGGGGGGTGCACGGGTGCTGGCCATGCCTGCCTCAACGGCCCACCACTTGTCCGTCCCCTTCGAGCCAGGTCATGTGGCCCCCTCCGCGCTGCTGAGCCACGGCTAGCCCAGAGTCCTCCCCTGCAGGTCACACAAGGTGGCCTCCGGGGGCAGGGGCAGGGGCAGGCCCAATGCGGGCTGAATGCAAGCCCGACTCGTCACGTTCTCAGCTGGGGACCCTTGGCTGGTGAACACGCTGCACAACTGCACCGCGACTCTGGGACTCGGAGAGCGCTCTCTGCGCCGCCGCCTCCTCCTGCCCGGGTGCTTTGGAAACAAAAGCCTGACAGAAGCGTTTGGCAGCCACAGGCTCCTCTGGTCCCACTTCCCTCCTCTGAGGCAGTGGCTGTGAGCCAACCGCTGCCTGAAGTGGGGAGGGGAAAGGGCAATGCAGGGAGAACAGAGTCGGCCACACTCACGTGGTGACAGCCGAGCTGCCCGGGAGGCTTACTGCTCCGTCCAGCTGGCCTCCAACGTCCCACTTCCCGTGGGCTGGCTCTAGTACGGCCGGCACCCAGGCTGCCAGGGTGGGCCCTGCCCGGCGCACACAGGGCCAGGACTGCGGTCGGGACCTGGTGCCTCTGCGCGCTCAGGGGCGTTCCTGGGCGATCACGGGCCCGCTCTGGGGCTTGGCTTCACACTGGTGCTCTCTCTGGAAGCGCCAGCGATTCCTCCTTTCGTCGGTTCTGCTACGGAGGGGCATTCGGGTCACTGGCAGTCTGGAGCTGTTGACCCTGCTGCGGCCTGTCCTGGCCTTCTGCCGGGCTGACTTCTCATTTCCTTGGGGCGTATGACGGGGCCACGAGCAGCTCGGTTGTAGGGTGTTCATTCCCGGCCTTAGGTTTTGGAAGCGTCGCCGGATGGTCTGCCGACAGTTGCCAGCTTCGTGGGCAACCCAGCAGGGTTCCAGCGGCCGCGCGCCCAGCAAGCCTGCTGTTCGCTGGTCCCTCCGTCCGCTCCTGCGGAGGGCGGGGGCGGGGCCAGCGCTGAGCTGCCGCGGGCACGGCACGGCACGAGTCGCGGGGCCCGAGCGTCCCAGCAGAGCCACGTCCCGGGGGCTGGCTACTCCGGCCGCTTGGGGCAACTGCCGGCACGAACACCCGCCCGGGGGCGGGGGGCGCTCGCGTTCCCGACGGGGACGCCGAGGGGCACGCGGCCTCCAGCCCCCCGGACAGGCGCGTCCTGGCGTCCCTTCGGAGCCTGCGGGCCAACGGAAGGCGGAGGCCAGGGCCCAGGCCGCAGGGCGCTCAGGAACGACACGCGTCTGCAGAAGTCACCACGTGGGCCCAGATGCCGGGCGCGCGGCCAAGTCCGAACTTGAGGGAAAGCGACGAGCGGCTTCAGGGCGCCGCGCGGGCTTCCCTCAGCCGGCCGCGGGGCGGAGACACCGCTGCGGCGCCCGCGAGCGTCGGCCAGTCGCGGTCCCCGTGCGCGCGGGCTCCGCCCCAAGCCCTCCCTGTGACCCACCGACCCCGAGGCCCCACGCCGTCAGAGGCCAATCAGCCGCCAGATAACGGCACATGCCTAGAAGGCAGCGCATGATTGGCTAAGCTCGGGCATGTCCGCGGCGCGCCGGGGCCATCGGGCCGGAAGGGCGGGGCCTGAGGCGGCAAGCGGACGGAAGGGGTGGAGCCCGCGAATGGGCGGACCCGTGCGCGCGCGGGCTGGCTGGCCGCGGGGAGGAGCCACACGCGTGAGGGCCGGCCCTGCTGTCGTCACCCGCCTCACGATGGTCACCGCCGCCGCCGCCGCCGCCGCCGCCGCGACCCTGTCGGAGCCGCGGCGGGCACTTCCGGGGGCCCCCGGGTGTCCGTTGGGTCTGTCGGCACGCACTCCCCCGAGCGCGTCGCGGCAGGCACGTGCGTCCCTGAGCCGCGCTCGCCGGGCCGCGGACGCCGCACCCGGGGCGGCCCCAGCTCCGTCCCTGCGGGGCCCGGGCCCCGGTCGCTCCGGCCCAGCGGCGGCTGGAGCCCGTGGGCGGGGCAGAGGGCACGCCTACGCTGACGTAAGCACCGGAGGCCCCTGGAGTGTTTCCCGGCCTGAGAAGGTCGGGGGAGGGTCCTCAGGCGCTGCCCGTGCGTGCGTCCGTCCGTCCGTCAGCGGCGCTCTCCCGGCGCCAGCGCCTCTGGCGGCTGACAGCCTCGACGCGGAAGGGTCTGCTCCTGCCCCTAAGTTTCGGCACGGAGCCCCGGAATGCGTCTCGCCGGGCTGACCTGTGAGCCGCTCCGCTGGGAGCCGGGCGTCGGCTTCGGGGCTGCGGCCTCGGGGCCCGTTTGACGGGCGGGCACTGAGACGGGCGTGGGCCCCCGTCGCGGGCAGCAGCGTGTGCCACCGCGTCCGCTCGGCAGCGTGCGCTGGGCGCGGGGGCCTGCCGCGGGGCCGCGGTGAGGCCGGCTGTGCGAGGGGGCAAGCGGGGTGTCCCTCGGCTCCTAGACCCCCCCGCCACGGAAGACTTGCTTTGCTTTGTGCGCCCCTCGTGCCCCCGGGGGCCTGCGTGTGGCGTGCTAGCGACTTGTCCCCGGGCGGAGTAGTGCGCGGCCCCGGGGGCAGTCTGACTTAACGTGCCGTTTTGGCAGTCTTTGCCTTCGGTGTTCCGAGTGAGCTCGGGGGTACCCTAGGGGTTGTGGTTGGAAAGTCCTCACCGGGCTGGAGCCTTCCTGTCATTCCCCGAAGGGCCCAGCACAAGTGTAGCTGGAGAGTGGGTGAAGCCGGGAGGTTGGGGAAGCCAGGACTTTACCGCAGCCGGACGTTCGGGAGCAGCGTCCGCCTGCTTCTCTTGTCGGCCCCAATGCCCCTCCTCGTCTCCGAAGGATGCCCCTCCCTCCCTGGGGTTTGGGGCCGGGAGTCGGTTCCAAGAAAGCTGGCCCAGGCCCTCACCCGGCCGTGCTGCCCCCCCCCATTTACGCAAAGCCCAGAACTTTCTAAGTCTTCCTGTTCTTGTTTTCTAGGAAGAGCACATTTCAAACCTTTGGGAAAGAAGTGTGCCTCATAGATCATTCGGTAAGGAAAGCAAACTCGCAGCAACTTTGCTCCAGCTCCGATAAGCCCGTGGGTTTGGGAGAGTGGAGAAAGTGGGTGGGTCCACAGCATCTCATGGCGCTGTGTCCGACGCGGGGTCTGTGGTTCCGGGGCCCATCAGCTGGTCCCCGGTATCTCTGTAGGGTCACCCGCTGCCTCCCCGACCCCTGGCTCCCGAAGACACTTCAAGACAGGGATTCAGGAGGCCTGGGAGAACAGTAGTGCCCCCTAATATACCTGTTCTGGGCACCAGCTTCTTCATCTGACCCTGGGGAGCATGGCTTCCCCTCTCCTGCCTGCCTGTGGGCGTGGTGAGGATCACGGGATGGATGTGGAAGCCTTTGTGAATGTGAAGCACTGACGGCAGATTGACCTCTCAATCTGGAGAGGTCAACCCTCAATCTGGAGAGAGCAACCCTCTCCCCACCGCAGTCGGTTGTACTCCCCCAGACTTGCCCGTGGTAACGCGGCAGGAAGTGGCTGGGCACCCTAGCAGCTGGTCTGTAAGGCTCTGCTCGTCCCCCGCTAATTGACTCTGGAGAGTGAGCCATGGTAGCCGGCCTCTTGCTGAGCTGCAGGAGGAGCTGGGGCCCCTGTTCCCTGCCCCTGGATGCCCTGCCTCAACCCTGGCTCTCTCCAAGCATTCATTGACTATTCCAGAGAGTTCCTCGGCTCACATCGCAAATACAGCAGCATGTTTAATTCTGTCTTTTCTGGCTCTTGCTCAGATGTGTCCCGTCCCCAGCACTGTTCATCGAGAGCCCATCTGCTGTGAGTGCCAGGCCAAATTCGGGGGCTGCCTGCCGGTGCCCAGGGTCAAGGCGATGTTGCCTTACTGGGTCCCTTTGTCCTTGAGACCCCGAAAGCAGGTAGGTGACTTGGACCAGGGCTGCTTTGTCTGAGTCCAGGGTGAACTTCAGGGGACCAGTCAGTCACCCCTCAAAATCAAAGATGTTATATGTATGATTTCTTAGAATTTCTGGGAGACAGTTTTTGTGTGTGTGTGTGTTTTTTTTTTCAAAAACCAGATCTATGGAGTTAAGACTGGCATGTGATAACTGTACATATCTGAAGTGTACAGGTTGCTAAGTCCTGACATAGATACCCGTCTGTGAAACCACCACTGCTGCTGAGCTGACGTGCATACACACAGCCCTGAAAGGTTTCCTTGTGCCCCTTTGTGACTCCCCCCAGCCCTCCCCGCCCTGCCATCCCCAGGCAACCACTGATCTGTTTCTGTCACCCCAGATCAGCTTGCATTTTCTCAGATTTTATATAAATGGAATCATATAAAAGGTCCTCTTTGGCCTCGTTCACTCAGCATAATTATTTCCGAGCTTCCTCCATGTGGTTGCTGAGTGGTGCTGGGTAATGTCCATCATATGACTGGACCACAGTGCATTTGCACCATCTCCACAAATTTTGTCTATTACAAATAAAGCTGCTGCGGATGTTTGTGTACAAGTCTTTGTATGAACATACCTTCATTTCTCTCGGGCAAGTAACTAGGAGTGGACTTGTTGGATCATGGGGTAAGTGTCTGTTTAACTTTTTAAGAAACTGTCAACTGTTTTCCAAAGTGGTTGTATCATTTTACATTCCCACCAACAGTGTATAAAGTTCCAGTTCCCCCATATCCTCAGTAACATGCGGTTTGGTCAGTCTTTTAAATTTCAGCCATCTTAATAGGGGTGTGTCTTGCTGTGGCTTCAGTTTGTATTTCCATGGTAACTAGCGATGCTGAGTGTCTCCTCCATATGCTCTTGCCATCTGCATGTCTTACCTGATATGTGTCTGTTCAGGTATTTTGCCCATTTAAGAAACATTGGGTAGTTTGCTTTTTTTTTTTTTAATTAATGGAGTTTTGAGAGTTTTTTATATATATTCTGGATATAATATGAGATACTCAATTTGTAAACATTTCTCCATGTTTTTGACTTGTTCTTTTACTCTCTTATCAGTATCTTTCACAGAGCATAAGTTTTAAATTTTGATGGAGTCCAGGTTATCAATTTGACCTTTTCTGGATCTTGCTTAGGTGTGCTCCTACCCCCAGCACAGCAGTAGCACATGCTTTCTAAGTATTCCTAAAATATCTTAGCTTAAGCCAAGGTCAGAAAGGTTTCTCCTTTATTTTCTTCTAGAAGTGTTACAGTTTATAGTTTGTGTTTAGGTCTGTGATCCATTCTAAGTTAATTTTTGTGTGTAGCTTGAGGTATGGGTTGAAGTTCCTTTGCTTTCGTCATGGGTGTCCAGTTGTTCTGATGCCACATGTCATAGAGGCCATGCTTTCTCCCCTGGCTGACCTTTGCACCTTTGCCGGAAATGAGCTGTGCGCGTAGCTGTGGGCCTGTTTCCGGACTCCGTTCCTTCTGCTGCTCTCGCTGTCTGCGTGCCGCCATGCCGTCTCCGTTACCGCGACTTTATCAGGAGCCGGGTGTCCTCCAGTGCTGCTTCTCTTGCTTTAAGTTGGTCATTCTGGTTTCCTTGCATTTCCATGTGAGTTTTAGAATCCATCTGCCAGTTTCTACAGCAATGTCCTGCTGGGAGTTTGGTTGGTCTTTTTTGTGTAAATTAGTGTAAAGAGAATGATCGTCTTAATGATACTGACTCTTTTGACCCGAGAACGTGGTGACCTCTCTCTCCGTGTAGGCCTTGCATGTTTCTCGGGTCGCTTGCAGTCAGCAGCGCACGGGTCTGGCGTACCTTCTGTCACGTTGATCCATGGGTTTTTCATAGCTTTGAGGACATCATTTTAAAAATTCAGTTTATGATTGCTCATTGCTAGTATTTAGAAATACCACTGATTTTTGTATTTTGATCTTGCATTCTACAATAATGGTTACCTCCTTTATTCTCGTAGCTCTTTTTGTAGATTCCATCAGGTTTTCTACATAGACCATCACATCATCTGCAGAGAGAGATGATTTCATTCCTTCCTTTATAGTTTGGATGCCTTTTATTTTTCTTGCCTGATACCCTGGCTAGAACTTCCAGTACACTGTTGAGTGGAGTGGGGAGACCAGACATCCTTGTCTTCTTCCTCATCTTAGCGGGACAGCATTCAGGTTTTCACCATGAAGTAGGATGTTAGCCCTTGGTTTAGATGCCCTGCATCAGGCTGAGGGAGTTCTGGCTATTCCTAGTTTGCTAAGAGGTTTTATCCAAAATGAACATTGGATTTTTTTCTGTCTATTGAGGTCATCACTTTTTTTCGTTTGTTAATACGATGGATTGCATTGGTGGATTTTCAAAAGTTAAACCATTTCCTAGGAGAAACCCTCTTTAATCATGATGCATTCTCCTTCGTATATTTGATTAGAAGTTTTGCATGTTTATTCATGAGGGATATTGATCTGCATTGTCCTTGTTTGCCTTTGTATTTGGGTAACGCTGGCCTGGTACAATGAGTTGAGAAGTATTCTCTCATTTTCAGTTTTTTGAAGACTTTGTGTAGAATTGGTATTATTTCTTCCTTTAATGTTTGGTAGGATTTACCACTGAAGCCATGTGGGACAGAGCTTCCTTTGTGGGAAGGTTTTTAACTACAAGTTTAATTTCTTCCGTAGATAACAGAGTTATTTAGGTTATCTGCTTCTTACTTAGCAAGCTTTAAGGAATTTGACCATTACATCATTGTCAGATTTATTGGCATGATGTTATTCATAATATTTTCTAATTACCCTTTTAATATCAGTAGAATCTGTAGTGAGGCCATCTCTCTCATTCCTTGGTTTTTAGTAGACTTTCAAAGGGGTCACTGGCTTCGAGATGACCGAGTCATGTTCTAGGCAGTGATGACGGCCTTCGTCCCTCCTGTTGGTCACTGTATCATTTGAAAGTTGGGTAGGGTAGATATTATTGTACCCCTCTAAAGGATGGGTAGACTGAGGTCCAGAGTGGGGCAGGCTTTTCTAAGGTTACACAGTCAGTTCATAGCAGATGAGGGATTAGAATCCAGAACTCTCCCCACTGAGTTGTGCTGCTGGGCATCAGGGAGGAGGTGGCCCTAAGCAGGATGGAAGGAGTACAGAAGCCAAGGTGCCTAGCCTGTCTTGTGTTTTCCAGCTGGCCCCCCCACCTCTATTCTCTCTAGCTCTGGCTGCCCATGTTCTGATTGGCAACCCCATGAGCTTTTAAAACTGTAGATCTGGTCCTGTCACTCCTCTGTAGCTCCCAACTTCTGAGTGTAGAACAAAGTCCCGGACACGGTTCCTGGGGTCCTTCCTGATCTTCCCCCGCCTGGCTCCGGCCTCCTTTCCACTTGCCCCTCAGGCTTCTGTTCCAACAGAGGGAAGGCGTTCGGTGCAAGTAACAGAAAACTGACCCAGAGTGGGTTCATCCAGTCTTGGTAGACAGAGGACTCTACTAGGACTCGCTTTAAGGACCCAGACTCTTTTTGTCCTTTACGCATAGTGTTGGCGCTGTCATCTTTAGTGTTTCAAGATGGTGGCCATGGGTCTCTTTTTTACACCGTGATACACATGGCAGAAAGTGAGCCTTTCTGGGGTCCTCCTTTTCTCAGGGGGGCGTAGAAGGCTTACCCTCCCGTTCTGCTTTCTTATCAGGGATAAAAAAATTCTCAGACACCCCAGCCGACTTCTTTTGTCTTTTTGGCCTCACCTTCAGACTCATTCCTGGCAAAGCCCTGACTGGCTGGTGCTGCTCCCTTGGGACTGGGCACTTGGCGCCTTGAGTCAAGCTGGGTTCTTTTAACAAGGGGGGCTGGGGAATGATTGCTGCAGAGGCAGCCCATAGGCTCTGCCTGGAAGTTCGTTCTGTCCACATCCTGAGGGCTCTCCAGCAGGTGCATGCTGCTCCCCTGCCTTCTCCACCTATAGCCGGCCCCCTGTGGCACGGCTCAGTGATGCTTCTCAGACAGACTTTCCCGGCCTGGAGTTTCTCCCTACTCCTGCTCCCCCGCATCCTGGCATTTCTTCTGTCAGTGGACAGCACTGCGTAGTAAACTGCTGTGGGCAGGGCAGGTCTTTGCTCCTAGTGCCGTGCACGCTCAGAGAGTGTGCTCGGCCAGCGCTTGGTGGATGGGGCAGAACTGGCCCGAGTGTGCCTGTCCTGTCGGGCAGTGCCATGTCGGCAGGAGGTAGGGGGGGACGGAGGTTCCTGGGTTCTCCAGAACCCCTTCCATATCTTCCTTTGGCTGACCGTTCCGCCCCTGGGCCCTCCCCTGTCGGGTCCTGTGCTTGGCAGCATGTCGCACACCTGCTCTGGGTCGCTTCTCTGCCTTGGGAAGTCAGCAGGGTCCACTCACAAGTAGGTTTTGTTGTCTTTTCTGACGTGCGACCCGAGCACATGGCGGGAACTTACACTGGTTCAGGGGGCATACCCCACCTGCGCCTCCCCCAAGGCTTCCCTGTGCGGCCCGGAGATGTGCTGTGCGTGTGGTCTTTCACTAGTGACGCGTAACACATTGCCCGACTGCCTGCCTTCAAACTGCAGTCCCTGTCATTGTGAGCGGCTCAGCTGGATGGGCCAGCCCCACCTGCCCCTGATCTTGGGGCCACTGTGCAGGCCCAGATGTTTAGAGGCCTGTGTGGCCGCTTTGCCCGGCTGGACCTGGCTGCCGTCACTTCCTCCTTGTTCTGTGTGCCAAACCCCTGCACAGCCTAAGCGAAGTCCGGGGGCGGGCTCCACGCTGCCCCTCTGCCGGAACGAATGGGGGTCCCAGGGCAAAGGGCAGGGCTGTGGGGAGGGTACAGAATGAGACAAGGCCATGGTCACAACAACTCCTGCCCAGGAGGCATAGCACGTAGATTTTCTATAAAACTGCACGTGGCCGCATGCTGGGCCTGCTATGTTTCCCGCTCCACATGGTGTCTCTGCATTCATTCCCGTCGGGACAGACACGTCTGCCTTGCACTTTCCAAAGCCTGCCCCATATTCCCTGTTGTCCCTGTGTCCCTCCCAGGCAGGCCCTTGGGCTCTTGGGCCACGACAGCTGTGCTGCAGCTAGTGTTCTTTGTGAGCGTCGTTCTACAGACACACGTGTCCCAGAGTGGAACTGCTGGATCAGACACTGTCCGTTTTAGACTCTGACCCATGGTTTCAGAAAGCTTTGTAGCCAAGAACGCTGAGGCTCACAGAGGCTAAATGTTGTGCCTAGGGGCCACTCCTGGAGGCCTGCAGACTCAGGACAGAGCCACATCTCCTGACTGTAATTCACGTGTCCCACCATGGCAGCCATTGCAGAGGTGCAGGTGGCCCCAGGGAATGTCATGAGGGGGAGACTGCTCCCTCAGCTGGGTGGTTGGGGCGGGCCTGTGGGAGGGTACAGAAGAGGAGCTCCCCAGGGCCCTGTCCCAGGACGAAGGTTTCTGGGGCACAACCCCTTTGGACCTTCTTTTCCCTTCCTCTTTGTTAGATCCAAAAGATGGTCCGGTTTTATATCCCCAAAACCTCCGAGGCATGCCCCTGCCCATGCCACCGCTTTGGGGGCCGCCTCCCGATGCCTAGGGATCAGGCCGTGATGCCCTACTGGGTGCCCCAGGTCCTGAGGCCTCACAAGAAGGTAAGAGGGAGGCCCATGGCGGCGAGGCCTCAGAGGGACCTGGAGATGGGGTGGGGGGTGCTGGGTTCTTTCCCCACAGTGGCCTCCACCGGGGTCTGGGCTCTCCTGGAAGGCACAGTGAGTGCAGTAGAGTGCAGGAGGTGGGGGTGTGCAGGGGAGGGCCAGCTCAGTGTCCTGGGGGGTGCTGGGAGGGCGGGCCGCACGGTGCTCTGAAGGGGGTCCCTCATCACTGCCCCCACCTTTAAGGCTGTCTCTCCTGCCTCCTGCTCCTTCCTCCTCCCCTGCACATCCCTCACCTTTGCCTCAGCGCCCGCTCCAGCTCTCTGGGCGTCCCGGCAGGTAGAGGGAGGAGCCAGGAAGGTCCCTTGCTCTGAATTTCTGTCCTGGCTTTTCAGCTCTGTCTGGGCGCTTCCAGGGCTCTGGCTTCCAGGGTGGTGACCACTGGGTTGCTGGCCAGGTCCAGCCCTCCTCGACCCCATGGCCCCTTCTCTCCCATGCTTTCTGGGTGTCCTGGATGGTCGGTAGAGGCTTGCTTTCTGCCTTTACCCACTTATCACTTGCTGGTTTTCTCTCATCATGTAGCAAACTGTCCCCGGAATTAAGACTCAGAGGCCCTTTAAAAGGGGACCATGGCTTGCGTTCTGAGCTGGCCACAGCCCTTTCCTGGTTTCCGGCCCAATCCCTGGGCCCGCCCTTCTGGTAGACCACCAGGCTGGGCTGACACATCTGCCCCCATTCTTTTCTTTTAGGTGGTGAAGAGGCAGCAGAGTTGTAAAGGCGTCCAAGGTAACCGAGTGTACATGTTTCATTCCCTCACTCCCCAAGGAAGGTGGGGTCTCATGGTGGGGATGGGGAGACTTCTTTCATCCCCAGGTATCTGCAAAACCGAGACGGCCATGTGACACACAGACCGCATCTTCACCCAGGCGTCACTAGCCATCTGCCATTTTTCCCCAGGGAACCTAGAGAAGCCGTACACTCTACCAGTCTGTCTGCATGGGCTTTCAGGATGAAGCCAATTTGCAGCCTGGAGTTAGATGGTATCTAAAGTGTATTTTCTTTTAAGCTCTAATCTTATATAGTTTGTGACATTGTGTGTGTGTGTGTTCTGGTGTATTCACACATACGCTTATGATCTAGTAAATGTATTTACCAACGATATGGTACATGTGCCTACAACTACATATGCAGGACACACTGTATGTTTGTGACATATTTAGGTATTTATTCATTTTGTGGTATATTTATACATTTATGTATTTGAGAGCTAGTATGCATACGTTCACATATTTCTGGCAGATGTGGTACATACCACATATACATGTGTTCATGATGTAGTTTGTATCTGCAACAAAGCATCTTCGTAGATTTATGTATTTGTGAGCCGGTATATACTTATGCACTCACTCAGCACTTGAGGAGATGGCATCTCCATCCCTACCTTTACTTTCTTTGTCTCTAAAACAAATGGGTTGGATTGCTCTTGAAGGCCTTGTCTGGCGCTGATGGCCAACATGTATGCTTCCTCTGCACTGCACACGAGCAAAGGAGTGGACATGCTGGGTGGTTTGCATCAGGTCCTCCCCTTGCCCAGCCAGTCCCGTGCTGTGCGTGGTGAGCAGCCCTGCTGGAATCTGTGAAGGAGGAAATGGATGGATGCCAGGGCTGGGGTTCGGTTCTTGGGATGGGCGAGCAGTTTAAGCGGCCTGCCCAGAACCCAGGAGCATAGGGCTGGGTGGGAGAGTGCCCAGGAAATGAGTGGCCACCAGCCAGCATGCCCACCTCTTAATGCTGCAAAAATACTATTTTCCCTGATAATAAGAGTCACACAATGAGGACTGCAGCACGAATGGACACAGCCTTTGTGGGGGCAATTTAGACGCATCTATCAAATTATTTTTTATTGAGATATAATTGACACAGAACATTATATTAGTTTCAGGAGTACGTGTAATAGTTTGATACTTATATTTTTGTGAAATGACCGATACAGTAAGTCTAGTTAACATCTGTCACCTCATATAGTTAACAAACTTTTTTTCTTGTGATGAGAACTTTTAAGATCGACTCTCTTAGCAACTTTCAAATATACAACACAGTATTGTTAACTATGGTCGTGTTGCACTTTAGAGCCCAAGGACTTATTTATTTTATAAGTAGAAGTTTGTACCTTTTGACCACTTCACCCATTTCTCCCATCTGTCAACTTTTGTAATACCCATCATCTTTACTCCAGCAAGACCATGTCCGGGTAATGTCTGGTAGACACTCCCACATGCATGCCTGTCTGCAGCAGCAGTGTCCTTGGCAAGGTGTCTGACGCAGCTGAAACATCTCCCAGTGGGAGGATGAACATGCGTGAGGGTGTATTTGAAATGTGGCACCTGCCATGTAGAGCACGCAGCCCTGAGGGACGATGGGAGGGAGTCCCAGACACACTGCGGTGAAGAAAAACAAGTTGCTGCAGGCCGCGCAGTTGGACCCCATTCCTGTGGCTCTGAAAAGCTGAAGCCCCATGTGGGTGTGGATGCGGGTCGGTGGTGCGGGTCTGGGCTGACAGCACAGGTGACCTGTGGGGGTGGGGAAGACAGGCGTTCAGGAACCCGAAGAGCAAGACCAGGGGCTGTATAATCGACAAAACAGAAGGCAGCATGTTGGCTCCAGTTTGGGGGAGAAGAGCCAGAAATCTCTTAAGAAAGAAACCACAGTGGGAGAATAAGAACAGTTGGAGAAACTGCTCTTTTAACTGTATAATCACACATTTATGGGTTATTTTTATTGGTTGTTTTTGGCTTTGAATACTCTGCATCTTTAGGGAAAGCTAAAAGCTCAGCTTATTGTTGAATCCTGTGCATCAATTGGATACATTTTCAAAAGCTCGTATTAACTTTTCTCCATTCCTTGTTTAATAGTGCAGGCAGTTTATACAAACAACCCATTCAGGCCCGAAGATGTTCCCAGGACAGGACTGAGAGCCCAGGTCTCACTGGTACCAGCTCTCCTTGAACTTTGTATAGAGTGATTTAAAAGTATGATTTAAAAAAAGTGATTTAAAAATATTTCCCTTAGCCTCAAATCCAGATTATTTCCATTTTAAGGAGAAAAATCTGTATTTTTCATCTTGTATTTTCTTTGTAAAGAGGGGCCTCATCTGCTTTTCTTCCCTATGATTTTGCAGTAGGCTTGTTTAATAAAGAAAATATTGTGTTCTTTATTAACCACGCTTTTACATGTTAGTATAATTAGAGTAGGAATGTAGCATATAATATGCCAAATAGAGTATACGTGTGGTGTAGGTAATATATAAATATAGTGTAATTTGTAGTCATAGCATGTTGTAATATAAGTAAGTGTAATGTAAGATGTGATGTCGGAAAGGTCCCATGTTGACCAAAGCAGATCTCAGAAGCTAGCGACTGGAGTCCCACTTGTGGTTGTGGTTTTTTTCAGATACTCACATAAATCCCATGTTTCCATCACTAGGTTCTACTCCTTATCAGCTTCTTGCCAGTCTGGTTTCGTCTGAGCTTCACCTACTTGTTCCCCCCTTGGAAAAAAAAAAACAACAAAAAATTAATGGGAAGCACATTCCAGCTAAATTCTGTGTTCTTTCATCCCTAACTAGCTCATGATGTGGCTGTAAGGGATAAAGACGCTGGCACAAACCCCCAGTCAGCCCAGAAATAAGTAGACAGCAGTATTCTCTTCATCTCCATGGATGTCGGTCAGCGTCCACACTCTCGGGGCCGTGACCAGCCTTGCCAGGACACCTGGCATCCTCGCCCTGGGTTCTGGAGGGCTCTCCTCTGTGTGGTGTGCACATGCAGCACTCTGCCCCCACTCTGCCCAGGGCCTGACTCGCTTTCTCGCCTAGAACCCTCTCTGGACTTGCGCTCCTGGTACAACCGCTGGCAGATCTGCTGTGACGGGCGCCTCCTCCTCAAGTGGCAGCAGCTCCAGGCCCTTCACCAGCACGAGCCACTGGCCCCAGGGAGGGGAGTGAGCCCCCCGGCCCCCCTCCTGCCCTTCAGCCTCCTGACCCTCCTGCAGGCGGTCCTGAGGGTCATGGTGGCCATTCGGTGAGCAGGCACAGGGCGGGGGTGGTGGGGGCCCTGGGCCCATCTTACTCCCTGGCCTTTGGGGTCAGGGGCTGGGGGTTTAGTTGAATCCAGGATGTGGGAGAAGTTGGCTGTGGCTGAAGAGGGGGTAAGGAATGGCTGCGGTGGGATCGCCATGGTGCTGTCCTCACCGTCCAGAGTTAGTTGGTCATGCCCTACGTGGGGATCTTACTCTGGCACACACTTAATGGACAAGCAGTCCAGGCACATCAGAACTGATGGTGGGGCACTGGGCATCTTGGGGCAGCCCGCCTTTCTTCACCTCGCCCCCGTGGCTGCCACTGGTTCCAGTTTGCACACATTGCCATCACGTCGAGGTTGAAGGTGGCTGTTAGAGGCCGCTTGCCCAGCCAGCCCGCTGGGGAGTAAGCACAGCTTCCGGCCTGGGGACCTGCGGCCTCTGCCCCCGGCCCGGTCCCAGCCATCGAGTCTCCAGTTTGGAGGGCCTTTGCCCCAGCCTCGACCCCACCAGGCTCACTCAGGCCTTGTCACTTGTATCCCCACCTAGGCCCTCCTCCAGGGCGCCCCCCCCAACCACCCGCCTGGGGACAGGGAGGACTGCTTCCTTTGGTCTCGTACTCAGGCTCTTTGATCACAGCTGTGTGCAAGGACATGCAGATACACAAGTGTGTGTGGGTAGAAGTGCAAAACAGTATCAGCGGATCAAATTTATATATGTTGATTTGTTTGCTTCTTAATCGTCAGTCTTCCTGTAATTGTAAGAGGAATGTTCTAGAAAGTGTCCAATATCTGAAAATGGTCGTTGGTGTCTTCCGTCCAGTGTCCTCGTTGGTGGTGTTCCCAGCAGGGGGTTAGCTCTGTCTTTGTCTCTGGTCCTGGCTGGAAGCAGAAGGCCTGCCCCCCTTGCTGGTCTGCTCTCCTGGTGTTGGACAGCTGGTGGTGCCTCTAACCCTGTGATTACAAACGGTGCCATAGGGCACATCCACATGCGAGTGCCCGTGTGGACCTACAGCCTCTCTGGGGCATGTGCTCTCGGGCAGGGGGCCGGGGCAGGGGGCCGGGGCAGGGGGCCGGTGGCTTTGGGTGATCTGTGAGCATGAGTAGGCTCGTGAAACTGTGAGATTGTTTCTTCTTTGCTTTGCATGAAGATTCATCTTTTCTTTGTGTGTGTTTGCCAACTTGACCATCAAAGTGAGTTGGACTCCTTGGTGCCCACTCTAGGAAGAGTAAAGAAAAAAGCTCAGCTGTAGATGGTACATGAGGTAGATGGTCAGGGTAGGCCAAAGGGAAAGTGCTAATGACCGTGGAGGAGGCGTTTGCCTCAGAGCCAGGCTCTTGGGGCCGAGGTATAGGTGCCGGCTAGATGTTCAGGAGAACTCTCTTGTCTGGCTGGGGTGTCTGTGGGGTGCCCTGTGAGATCCCCCAAACTGCTCGACCAGCTTATCTCAGGAGAAGCTGCCGGCTGCCTCTAGCCCAGATCTGCTAGAACTGTGAAGGCCTCAGGAGGGGAGGTGAGCTTGGGACCTTCCCAGCAGGGATCCTTGAAGGGTTGTGACAGTCAAACTTGCCTTCTTGATGGGGCCCACTGCAGCTGCATCGGGTCCCTTTCACAGCTGCGCAAGGCAGGGACTCTCCTTCCTGCCCGGAGGGGGTGAGTGGGCTCTGGGGGCCGAGTGCCTCATCCGAGGACCCATGGCTGGAAGTGAGCCAGCTACGACACACCCTGGCATCGCCTCCCTGTACCCTTTCCTGCCCAGGCTCCTCAGGGATTCAGATGGCGTCCTCCTTCACCGTGGGGGTCCTCTCGCGTTCCAACCCAGGGAGGCTCCCTACCACGTCCTGCCAGGGCAGCATGGGCTCAGTGTGGGGCACAGTTCCAAGTAACTGCATTTCTCTTTGCTTTCCAGCCACTTGTTTTGGGTTTGAAGTTGGAGTCTTCAGCCACTGCCGAGAACATCAACGAAAATGTCAGTCATAATCAAGGTCTTTAATGAGAGCCGTCAAGTCAGGAGGAGTCTGTGATAAGCCACCATTTTCTCAGGTCCTATAACTCACACCTGGGGTTGGGTCTAAGTTCTTTCTCATCAGGCAGTGCTGCGTTGCGGTGCAGCTGCTGTGGATGCGGGTGAGACTGGCGAATGCGGCCAATAAATGTTATTTATGAAACTCCAGAGTGGCGCCTGATTGAATGGTGACACTGGTTCCGCTTTGTGGAGGGGGGCGTGTTCTCCAGCCCGGCGTCCCTGAGGGAGAGGGGCCGCCTCTGTGTCTCTCTTCCCTCTGCCCGGGACAGCGGGCCCGCCAATGACGGGCCAGAGGTGCCGTTGGCACCTGGGTCAGGTGGCTTGCGCTTTAGTGAGTTGCATAAAATTATGGAAGTTGAGGTTTTTTTAAACTGAGATGTCATTCACATCATAAAATTCACCTTTTTACAGCATACGATTCAGTGGATTTTGGTGTATTTACATGGTTGTGCAGCCCTCCCCCTACTGTCTCATTCCAGACCCGTGTGGTCACCCCAAAAAAGAAACCGATCCTGCATCACTCCTTCCCTTCTTGCCTGGCCTCTGGCAGCCACCCACCTGCTTTCTGTCTTTTCCTGTGCGTGCAGTCCTATGGCATGTGGGTCTTCTCTGTCTGGAGCCTCTCAGCGCACGTGTAGCCCGTGTGAGCGCGGCATTCCTTTTTATGTGGGTACAGCGGGGTTTATGTGGGCCTTTGGGTTGTTTCCGCCTGTCGGCTCACCATCACTCGTACTGCTTTTGTGTGGACCTGTTTCCGTTCTTCTCGGGTCTGCACCTGGGAATGCTGGGGCTTAGGGTAACTCTGTTGACTGTGGACCTGCCTCCGTTCTCCACAGTGGAAAACTGCCCCATTTTATATTCACGTCCATGCCAGCCAGGCAGACCAGTTTGGGTTTCTCCACATCCTTGCCGACACTTGTTGTTAGCCTTGTTTGGATGATAGCCGTCCTTATGGGTGTGGAACAGTGTCTCATCATGGTTTTGATCTGCGTTTACCTGATGACTAGTGACATTGAGTGTCCTTCCGCGTGCTCCTCGGCCATTTGTGTGTCTTCTTGGAGAGATGTTTGTTCAGACTCATTGCCTGTGTTTTAATTGGATCATCCAGTTTTTCATTGTTGTTGAGCTTGTGTTCTGGCTGTGTTCTGGATGGTAGGTCCTTATCAGATGTATCGTTTGCAAGTATTTTTCCCTGCGGGTTGCCTTTTCCCTCTCTTGATGATGACCTTTGAAGTACAGAAGTTTTTAAATTTCCATGAAATCCAGTTTTCTATTTTTTCTTAGGTCAGATGGTCATATCTCAGAAACCATTTCCTAATCCAGTGTCACAAAGATTTACCAATGTTTTCTCTCTTGCTCTTTTTTTTAGATTTTATTTATTTGTTGGAGAGAGAGAGCACAAGCGGGAGAGCGGCAGGCAGAGGGAGAGGGAGAAGCAGACTCCCCGGTGAGCAGGGAGCCTGATGCAGGACTCGATCCCAGGACCCTGGGATCCTGACCTGAGCTGAAGGCAGTCACCCAACCGACTGAACCACCCAGGTGCCCCTACCTGTGTTTTCATTTAAGAGATTTATAGTTTACCTCATACATTTGGGGCTTTGAGCGATTTTGAGTGAGTTTTGTAACTTTTATATATGGTGTGAGGTACATGCGTTTGATGTTCTTTTGCATGTGGATATCCAGTTGTTCCACATGGCATTCTTGAAATGATCAAATTGTAGAAATGGAGAACAGACTCGTGGCTGCCAGGGGTTCGGGGGTGTGTGGAGGGTGGGAAGGGGAAGTAGGTGCCATCATCCAAGGACAACATGAGGCATTCTGTGGTGATGGAAACATCCTGTATCTTGGCTTTATTGATGTTCTGGTTGTGAGATTATGCCACAGTTTTGCAAGATGTTACCAATCGGGGCAAACTGGTTGAGGACAACATGGGATTTCTCTGTATTATTTGTTGTAAGTCATTGTGAATCCACGATGAACTCAAAATAAAACTTTAATTAAAAAAGTAGTACAGTTCGCTTTGGAAGGTTTTGAGAATACAGAAGAGCACAGAGGAGAAAGTAGAAACCACTGAACCTCCCCCCACCCCCGACCCCGAGTTGACCTCTGTTGCTACCCTGGCAGGAAGGAATGGATGGATTCCCACAGGAACCAGACTTGGGGGTAGGGAATGTGTGAACTGGGGTGGCCACCTTAGAGACGGGAAGAAGACAGAGGTGGGGATCTAGGCTTTGGAGGGCTGAGGATGATGAGGCTGCCATTGGGCCAGGGGCTGGCCCCATGGGGCATTTGAGTGGGTGGTCCTGGAGGGCCTCCAGGCTTCCCTTTGGGGGCATAGTGGTGTTCTCCTAGGGCCCATCTCCACTGGCCTAAGGGTGACACTGAGCGGTGTTCATTCATTCAGCAAATATTTATCGGTGTGTACCGTGTGTCAGGCATTGGCAGGGGTTAGCATCAGACGTGCCCCTGGGCTGATGGGATACTGTAATATGGGGACAGTTGCATAGTGAGTGAAGTACACATGAGTGTGGGGCTGGGAGTGCAGGGGGTGCTCTTGACATCCTGTTCACATTCATTCCCATGTTGCCCCACGGACCAGCAGTTCCTGACTGGTGTTCTCCGGCTGGGGGAGCCCGTGCAGGGACAGACTGCATGTGCTAGGGAGTGACATCCCCGGGGGGAAGCCCTCAGCCAGTGATGGGTGGGAGCTGTGGATAAACAGCCAGCCTCCTCCCTGGATGGGACAACTCTGAGCTGTGTTTTGTACTGTCTCCTGGAGCTCCTTAGCAGGACTGAACCCCATCGCCTTCTGTGCTCACCTTGGTGATGCCCTTTGTCCTGGCTGCTCACCTTCCCAGGCTCACTTCCCCCATTCCTTCACAGGCCTCCCTGGATCACCTCTCAATAAAGCACTTGCAGTTAATCCTGGCCTCAGGCTCTGCTTTTCCTGGGGAAGCTAACATAAGACAAGGCCTGTGGACCTGGTCTTGAGGTCAGGGTAGGTTCCTGGGGGAAGGTGGTCTGAGCTGAGGCTTGAAGGCGAGTCCTGTTGTCTTGGTGATGAAGGCTAACGTCAGTGTGCAGTCGAGGTGTGCAATGTGAGGGCCTGCCCAGGACAGTCTGGAGCATTCTGTCTGCATAGGAAGCTTATGCTTAGGAGGGGCAGTGACAGGAGATGGAGTAGGGACCAGACTGCGGGAGGCCTTGGTGGTTTTTTAAAGATCACAAGTGCGTCACACTTGTGTTTGGGAAAAAGCACCCTGGCTGAAGCAAGTTGAATGGAGGCCTGCCTGGAGGCTGCAGCAGAGACACTGGGATGGGAGTGCCTGGCCAGCTGTGCTGGTGGCAGCGGTTTTGTTCTAGGTGGAGAGTATGTGACCGCTTTGTTCAGAAATCCCCCAGACACACTCCTGGGGATGACACACTCTTCTGCAGTGGGCTGGCCCAGCCCCGGCACTCCTGCCTGTGTGTGTGTTGTCCTGAAGCTTGACATGTGGAGCCACGAGAGGGCACTAAGAGTCTCTTGTCTGGAAACCGCTCAGAGAGGCTGGAGGAGCTAGAGAGGTCAGGAGGGGTGGGCCCAGCCTTGTCGGGCCCTCCCTGACCTGCAGCCTCCCTCCCCTCCTGATTGCTTTCTCCAGGACAGGCCCTGAAATCTGCGACCTTCCAGGCAGAATGTGTTCCAAGGAATTTAAGGAGTTTTGAGAAAGATGCTCCTGTGGTCCTTGGCGCCTCAGACTCAGGGAGCCCAGAGAAACTGCTCCCTCTGCCTCCCCCCCCCCCCCCGCCCCCTCTCTGCTGCCTCCCCCCCCCCTCCGTCCGCCGCCCTCCTAGCCCCCTCCCCGCTGCCTCCCCCTCTCTTCTAGTCCCCCCTCTGCTGCCTGCCCCCTCCCTAATGCCGCCCCTTGTCCCCTCCCCGCTGCCTCCCCCCTCTCTCCTGGCCCCCTCCCACCCCACTCTCCCACCCCCTACTAGTCCCTCACCTCCCTACCACCCAGCCCGTTCTCTCTCCTCCTCTTCTCTTCCATCTCTGTCTCATAGCCCTTACTGAGCAGTTACCGTGCAGCCCAGCCCTGGCTAGTAGAACTTTCCGCAACGATAGCATGTTCTAGATCTGCACTGTTCAGTACAGAAAGCCCACAAGCCACATGTGGCTATTGAACACTTGAGATATGGTCACTGCAACTGAATTGTAGTTTAATTTAATTCACTTTAAATAGCCATGTGTGCCTAGCAGCTAGCAATTTGGGCAGCAAAGATGTGGCCCTTTGACTTGTCCTAAGGCTTCATGGCCTTCTAGAATGTTACTGAGCCTGGTTACAGCATTTACTGTAGATATGTGGGTCTGCTTCTCACCTTCCTAAATCTTGTTACTGCTCTGAGGGTAAGGGCAGCAAGCTCCCCGGAGCCCCATTTCCGCCTCAGGTGCTTGGTGTCTCCCAGGCATGCTAAAGGCTCATGATGGCCTTCCCAGTGGAGCGAGCACTCACCCCTGGCACAGGTGTACAGACCCAGGCCCTGAGAGAGAGGTGAGCTGCTGCCCTACCCACGCCACACAGAGCCAGGCCAGCTCCCAGGGACCTCCGTGGCCTGGAGGCTCTTCCAAACAGGAGAATGGTGTCTCTGGTTTTTTGGGAAGAACCCTGTCTGCTGTCTACCTGGAGACCAAGAACACCAAGCCGTCAGAGAATCCGTCCTTCGAAAAAAATCATGCTGGGGAATGTGGCCAAGCCACTGCCATGCATGAAAGCAGCCACACCCAAGTGACAGTGAAACTGCAGAGCACCTCAGCGTTTATCCAGAGGGACATCTCCGCCACCCCACCCCACCCCCCCAGGCTCTGGCCCATGTCCTCATCCCTGTCCCAGGCCTCGGTCCAGCCTGGTGACGGGCAATGGGGGACAGCATGCCTTCCAGTACTGTAGGGTGCGTGTAGAGTGGGGGGAGCCCAGGGGACAATGGGACGTGCCTAGGGCAAGGTCTCAGGCAGGGACACTGAAATGGAGAACAGAAGGATGCAGCAAGCAGGGCAGAATGAGCAGAAGGAAAAACAATTCCTGGGAAAATGTCTCGCTCTTTGGAATGCAAATGAAGTCCCCAAACTATTGATGAACATTGGATTTCCACAAAGAGATCCCACAAAGGAT